CATACCCAAACTACAGTTTATCGCTTAGTTCTTATTCATTTTTCTATTAAGTGATATAACAAAACTGCTGAAGTAGAGCTAGGTTTTTCTTTTACCCAGTTGCTGACAACTGTTCTAGCTCAAAATTCTGAATGACTACCAGTGCAGAAACTTAGGAAATCTGCTTGCCATCATGGGATTAACTAAATACAAGCATTAAAATTGCTGCCATAGTAGCACCAGTTGTGCCAGAAGTCAGTGGAACTCTCTCCTTCTTGCTCTAGGCATAAGATCAGTTATGAACTTTTTTTCCATTTAAAAAAACTTCTAGCTGGCAAATCTTTTAACTTGTATGATTCTGTTTGTGGCTCGTGATACTTCTTAAATCTAGACCACTGGCTTTGCTGAATTGTTAGGCTGCCTTTTCTGAGTATACTGGGGAACTTAAAACATGAAAGGTAGCCCTGTGTTTCTGTATGCATTCAAAAAAACCCTCCCCCTGCCTATATTTCATCTTTAAGGGCCAAAGAGGAAGAGAGAATGTTACTTTCTGTAATAGTCAACAGCTGATCATAACATTCTGCAACCGCATAAGATAAATCTAATATCCATGTCTTGCTAGATCCTTAATCTTGAATTAAAATACATGCCAAACTTCAATATATTTTAAAATTAGCATGAGATAGCTGTACATTTAGCTTTTTAAAGTCTTTCATATTTCTGTCTTCTAACTTCAGATTTGTTCCAACAGCCTAGTTAAGATAGAGTTCAAAGAAGCTAAATCCTGTGTACTGCTGAGGAAGTGTAAAGTGGCCAAGTTGTTTTAAAGAGTAGATTCTAATTCATCTGCTATTAAATTGAGTTCATGCATTCATTGGTCCATACCTGCCCAGAAAAAATAGTGGTAGGGCAGCTGTCCTGAAGAAAATGTGTTGTATTTTCTTAACAGTGTAAGAAAACAAATTGAACAGGAGTTAGTACTTCCTGAAGACCCATTTGGTAAGTTTAAGATTAGTGGTGTATGCATAGCTAGAAATAAAGGAGTTGGTGATCATGTCAATTCTTCCCCCTAAGAATAAATCAATGAAGAATTTTGTTATTAAACCCTTATTTATAGAAAAATCCTAGTGCTACTTGGTTTACATAATGAAAACTATCTGGTATAAAACTAACCTATTTTCATCAGAGTATATAGTATTATATAGGACCATATTGAAGTGTCACATCATTAAAAGGAAATGTTTTGCTATTGCATTAAAGGTGCCATTACTTTTAAAATCTAAACAAACATAAAAGCATGTGTTAGGACTTAAGAGGGTTTTTTGTTGTGTATTTAGAAACCTTATCTAGCTGTAACCTGTCATGTAACTTGGTATAAATTTATCTTGGTTATAATAAATCTGTTGAACTAGGCACTTGCACTCTTTTCATATTGTGGAAAATTTTGGTATTTTCTCTATGCTGAAAACCTCTTGGTCAAGTGGATGGATCAGCATGGCTTTGAACTTTGCACAAAATTAAATTTCTCCACTAGAGAGCACAATTTTACATCCGGTTTTTTCTGCCTGCTCTGTGCAAGCTGTAACTCCATTGTAGGGTTTTTTTCTTTATTTGATGGCTTTTGAGCTTGACTGGAATAAAATACAGCAAGTAAGACCAAAGGATCAAATTTTTATCATCTACATTGTAGACTACATAGACCTTGTATCAACGCAGTGTGGCAACAAAATATTACTGCTCTGACTTAATGGCGTTTTATGGTTTCTTTTTGTAGTTAGAAGTAACATAACTTGTAAGTTGAGCAGGATCAAGTCTTTTACATGTAGGCCGGCAGAATCTCAGCACTGTATGTGTTTGCTTCCTTTAAAAAAAAAAAAAAAGGAAGTAACTGCTATTTCAAATACTGTCTTATCCTTTCACGTCCCTGCTAGGCTTTACTGACTCTCCCATAATGCTGCATAAACTTGCAGTCAGTACATGGAAAAGGTAGATGAGATGAACTACAGGAGAAAACTGTGCTGTGTTACAGTGGTGTCAAAAAGATCTCCTCGTGTGAGTATAAGGGTCCTGTAAAGCTTCCAGGTACTTTGTGGTTCTGCAAACTTGGTTAGTCAAGAATGAATCTCAGGCAGTTGTTTAAAGCACTGTACTATGAAATCATTCAGATCACATTAGCCAGTCTGGGAATAGGAGGTAGAAGCTAAGTCTTCCTTCCTAGCGTTTGTATCTTCTTTTCTCAGGAAAACAAACTCTTCAATGGGACTGATTTAAAAGAGTAACTTGCAGTACTTTGCTTTACTAGGTTATGCTTCTAGTTTATGGCTCCTGCAGGTAGACTTGCAATTCTAAAATCTGTAAGGCAGGTGAATCACACACTAAGGGTTAATATCAAAGGTGTGGAGTCCTGAAATAAAAAAAAATTCTGTAACTGCTATTTCAAATACTGTCTTATCCTTTCACGTCCCTGCTAGGCTTTACTGACTCTCCCATAATGCTGCATAAACTTGCAGTCAGTACATGGAAAAGGTAGATGAGATGAACTACAGGAGAAAACTGTGCTGTGTTACAGTGGTGTCAAAAAGATCTCCTCGTGTGAGTATAAGGGTCCTGTAAAGCTTCCAGGTACTTTGTGGTTCTGCAAACTTGGTTAGTCAAGAATGAATCTCAGGCAGTTGTTTAAAGCACTGTACTATGAAATCATTCAGATCACATTAGCCAGTCTGGGAATAGGAGGTAGAAGCTAAGTCTTCCTTCCTAGCGTTTGTATCTTCTTTTCTCAGGAAAACAAACTCTTCAATGGGACTGATTTAAAAGAGTAACTTGCAGTACTTTGCTTTACTAGGTTATGCTTCTAGTTTATGGCTCCTGCAGGTAGACTTGCAATTCTAAAATCTGTAAGGCAGGTGAATCACACACTAAGGGTTAATATCAAAGGTGTGGAGTCCTGAAATAAAAAAAAATTCTGGTTCATTAGATTGCAGATTAGCTACAGGGCAGAAAACAAAGACTAACCATAAACAGAATGTTTTTTCTAAAACCGAGGTTGCTTGGAGACTTGCATTTTTAACTCCTTGCAATTGTAGTACCACTCTTACTGTGTACCTTTCTGTCTTAATACAGGGGCTGGATTAATAGAGTTTAGACCCAAAGTAGCAGATAATGCTTGAAATTCAAAATTTTAGATGCTTAACCTCTACAGCTGAAGTCCCTGTGCGCCTAAGGAGAAGCTCTAAGTGCTTGGGCTTCTGCAGAAAAACTGCACTTTCGTCATACGCGGTAGTTCATCTGGCACACAAAGCCCAAGTTACTTACATCAGTGGTTTTCCTGTTGATATTCCTGTGGTTACAGTGTATATGTAAAAGGTTTCTTAGTACAGAATAAGTTCTCTCTAGGAACTGGCTTGGTGGACAGTCATTTCCTCAACAGAGCCTTAAGCTGTGGAGTTACTTAACACTTATCACCACATGCAGCTCTGAGAAAGTTTTGTACTTTGCTACATGAAAGCATAAAGTATCCTTGTTATTGCTTAATTCTTCATGCTCCCAGGAAGGTGTTCGGAGAGGCTAACAGGTTGATCGGGAACTACAGAAAAATGAGATGTACGAGAGGCAGGTTTAGAAGCCATGGAGAGGCAATGTGGCATATGTTTATGAAAAATAAGCAGGGAGCAGAACGTGCACATTAACATTTGTTATCTGCAATGCATGGGACAGCTTTTGTTGGTATCAGTTGGAAAATACTCATAATGTGTGCATAATTGGTATATGGAGGAAACTGGGCACTTAAGTGCATGACTAAGCTAGGACTTTGAGACACAGATTGCCAATGTAACTTTAATGGATGGTAGTATCCTCTTCCTGCAGTGGCTTACACAGCTGTTTTCAGAAAGTATGAAGCCAGCCAGAAAGCTATGCAGCAGCTGTGGACTGATGGCACATACATATTTGGAAGATGAGATGGCGCTGCCTTTTTTTTTTTTCTCTGATGAATGTGAGGTTGCAGATGTTCTAATTGCTGAGGCCTGCTGCAGCCAACACTACCTTCATGGAACACAAAACAAGTAACACTTAGAGTTAATACAAAATAGCAGGAGTAAAAGGGTATTTGCCTTCAGTCCACCATGCTGCCAAAACTTGAGGGAAATGAACTAGATCCATCTGATATTCAGGTGCCAGGTGTTGGGATAGTATGGACAGGTTGGAACTGAAAGGTCACAAAGAATTCCTTGTGCCTGAGGAGGTTTGAGTGATGTTCTCCTGGACTCTGCAGGCTGAGAAGCCAAGAGGTCACTGTGGCTACACCAGATTTCCATTAAGACCTTCTCTCCCAATGCTATGTAGAGAAAGGAAACGTGAAAGAAAATAGTGAAAGCACTTTGAGTAGGCAGGGCCATTACCAGTATGTGTTCATGTGCCAAAAAAGCTCCCAACTTGAGGTGCCTGATACTGAAATAGGACTGCTGTCTTCACCTGGGAACTTAGAGATGAGTAAACTCATGGTATAATCAACTGTGCCCTTTCAGGGAGAGTGGGGTGTGCAAGGGCACCCATGGCATGGTGTGCTTCAGACCCTGCATCACCTAAACCCAGCCCTAACTGGCTTATCAAGCATTGCAGTATGGCTACTGAACACCTTGTGGTTGTCACTTATTCCATACATCCTGTTCCTGTGCATCCCATTAGCATGATCAAAATCCCCAAATGTTATCCAAAATATAGTTCAAATGGGAGGAAGTTCCCTTAGCCCTAGTAACAGATGGACAAGAACAACAACTTTGGGGTGTCTGTTGAGACCTCTACAGTAAATTACTCATGAAATCAAGGCCACAAAGCTGTGTTGAAACTACTTTACTCAGTGAACCTTTTAAATTTTTTTGTTATTAAAACAATATAAATGGAAATAATATTTTCTTTATAACAAATTTTAAGTTTCATCTGATATTTGCATATAAATCCAAAAGAAATAAAATCAAGGTTGTT